CCTCCCCCACCTGATCCCTCTCCTCCGCCTGATCGTGCTCCTCCTGATCCTCTTCCTCCTCCCGAGTCTCCTCCTCCTGATGCCCCTCCCTTTCCCCTCCTCCATCCCCTCCCCCCCCGTGGCCTCCTGGTCTCCTGGCAGTACGTGAAGTATCGAGCGCGCGGCTGAACCTGGTGGCACAGCGCGCCGAACGTGACGACCGCCGGCGTGGCGTCATATCCCTGGGGCACAGGGAACTGAAGTGATCATCCTACCCCCTATCCTCCTCCACCTGGTCCTCCTCCTCGTGATCCCTCTCTTCCTGATCCTCCTCCTCCTCCTCCTCCTCCTCCTCCTGATCCTCCTGATCCTCCTGATCCTCCTCCTTCTCCTCCTCCTGACCCCCCCCCCCTCCAGAGTTTGGGGCGCTAGCAAGCGCTAGCAATCGGTCCTCCTGATCCGCCCCCTCCTGATCCTCCTCCGCCGATCCCATCCTCCTCCAGAGTTTGGGGCGCTAGCAAGCGGTCCTTCTGAACGAACAGCGCGATGGCGCCGCCGCGCGCCGCCCGCTGCGCAGCGTCAGCAGCCGCGCTCAGCACCGCGCGAGCGTGCACCTGCCCAGCCGCGGATGCCAACGACAGCCCCATCCGCGTGCGGCCGAGCGGCAGCGAACCTCGTGTGCCAACAGCACCGCTCCGCACTGGCTCGGCACGACGGCCAACCCCTCTATATGCGCTGATCTGCGTCCCCCGCACGTCCCAACGGTTGGGGCGATTCTGGCCGGGCGCCAAGCGAAGCCGCTTCCCTAAGGAATTCCTGAGCCTGTCGCCAACTCGCAACTGCTCCGAGTCGTGGCGCTTGGCCACCCGCTCAAGGTTGGCATAATGGCCCGCGAGCTTGCGCTTGCGAGCCTTCCTGACCTGGCAACGCGGGGCTGGAGCAAGGCAGAAGGCCCTGCGGCTCCCGGGCGACTTGGAGCCCCGCGAGCCCAGGGTTCACAAGACTTACTGGGCCTCCAGAGGCCTGGGGTTCCAAACGTCTTCGAGGCCTTTTGCTTACCCAAGGTCCCCAACGCTGCCACGCGTTAAAGAGTCCTACATCGTCACCTTCCTCCTCCTCCTCCTTCACCTTCTCCTGACATCATTCCACCTCCTTGGCTGTCGTTGACTTCCTTCCTCCTCCTCCTCCGCCTTCCCCCCTCCTTTTGGTTCTCGTGCTGTCTTTCCCGTTCGTTCCTGGTCATCGTTCGCCATCGCCCGTTCAGGTGTTCTCCAGCAGTTGCGCTTGGCCGAGGGCGTTCTGGAGGTGCTCGGATCGTCCCGATCGGCGTCGTCGTTGTGACCATCATTCTGGATCATCCCTCGCCAATCCGACCCGTCCACCACCCTCCACAGTTTATTGAAACTGCGGCGCCTTGTTGAACGACGCGATCGGCGGGGGCTGCCGCGGCCCTCGGGCTCGCGCCCTGCGGGGGGCGCAAGCGAAGGCGTCGCGCATCGCCGCGGCGAACTCTGGCTCCGCATCATGGCCGAAGGGCAGGGCGAGAGCGGGGGGAGCCCCGCTCGAGGCGGCCAAGTCGAGGATCGACATTGGGCCGAAGCCAAAATGGCTGGGATAGCACGCGACGGAGGCGGGCGACGACGAGGAAGGACGCGAGGCGACGGGCGAGTGAGAAGGAACAGAAGCTCAGGACTGCCGAAAAGGGGCGACAAATCTCCTCCGCCAACGTGTCTTGCTGCTGCGCTGCTGCTCTTGCTGCTCCTCCTCGACCACTTCGCTCTCCTCCTCTCGTTCTCCTCGTCCTCCTAGCCGTTTCCTCCCCCACCTCCTTCCCCTCCTTACCCACTTTGCCCTCCTTATCCTCTCTCCCTCTCTTTGTCTCTCTGCCCCCTCGCCATCCTCCTCATCGCAGCCCGCTGCGCTGGCAAAGGGCGGCGCAGTCCTGCTGCTTCGACCGTCGAGGCCGCTTTGGCGGCGCGCCATCGCTGGCCGCCTTCGCCTTCCCACCTTTCCCCATGACCTTCGAGCCGTGCTCAGAGGCGCGCGAGCAAACGGAACAAAAAACAAACAAGTTCGGCCCCTCTCGGGCCCCCCGAGGCCCCTCCGTGCGCCAATGGGCCCTCGGGCCCGCGCGTGGCCCGAATGGCGAGAAGGGCGGATGGGGCAAGTAAGGGTAAGGAGGCCTCGCCTCGAATGGCCCACCGTCGCTACATGCTTGACCGCCCATGGACCCAGGAAATCGGCATCGCATTCTATGTCGGCATGCACCGCCTACGGTAACATTGCTGATGTACAAGAAGCGTTGGTTGTTGTACATATATCGTGCTACTTTAATTGTTTGAGTTGTTCGTTGTCGTAGTTATAGTTGTTTTAGTTGTTTAGTTGTTTCGGGGTTGTTTTTGATATGTTTAATTATAGTTGTTTTATTATGTGTTCTGACGTTAGTTGTTTTGTTGTTTTAAGTTATTGTGAAGAGTATTATTCAGCATATCATGTGGGGCTCGTTTTTGCAAGGG